CTCATAATGTTAACAACATCAACATATGTTGGGATAGCATCTATGATAGAAATAAGATCTAATTTAGATATACTTTTTTTAGACTTCCATGACATAGAAAAAAGAATATTAATACATATTTAAAAAAAGTACCAAAAAATCATATTAAAAATATTATTCACATTGCTACCGTCTTAATGACACTTGTCAAGCGAAGGATAATAGTTGGTTTGATGATTTGACTTGCCTATGCTTTTATAGGTCTTTTAAAAAAAAAAATGTTAGAGACGCCCAATATGAGGATAGATGGGGCGTTGTGGTGTTAACCAATCTGAAAAAAATATTAAGTTCGGAGTGCGGATGAAAACTGCGTAACAACATCAACATATGTTGGGATAGCATCTATGAAAATATTCAATAGAAATAAGATCTAATTTAGATTTACTTTTTTTAGACTTCTATGACATAGAAAAAAGAATATTAATACATATTAAAAAAAAGTACAAAAAAATCATATTAAAAAATATTATTCACATTGCTACCGTCTTAATGACACTTGTCAAGCGAAGGATAATAGTTGGTTTGATGATTTGACTTGCCTGTGCTTCTATAGGTCTTTTTTTAAAAAAAATTGTTAGAGACGCCCAATATAAGGATAGAGGGGGCGTTGTGGTGTTAACCCATCTGACAAAATATTAAGTTCGGAGTCTGGATGAAAAACTACTTCCGGACAAAGAATGTAATACAGCGGGAGCTCAAACCTCCGTTGTATCACATCTATTGTTTGGACGTGATACAACAGTGACGTAATATTTTTTCTAACCTATTTTTTAATAGATTCGAACCATTTAAGCTCAAGGGACAATAACTAAGGTTCAATGCCATGATAAAATTGATGCTAACAATGAATGGGTGGGAGGTCTTTGCCACATGCTCTCGTATAAATTGTTCATTTATACTGTGTGATATTCATTAGAGTGCAAGTATTCCCAGACCATTTATAAAATGTATCCATGAATTTATATTAATTGTCAAATATTTGAGTAAAGTGGAATATCGGCCTAGGTTGTGGAATATCGGCCTAGGTTATGTATTATTTATTTATTTATTTATTTATTATGGTTATAAGGAAAAGAGGATAGAGAACGGGAAGTGAGTAAATGATGAGAGAGAGAGAGAGAATGAGAGAGAGAGAGAGAGATGCAATGGCCAGTCGTTTTCACCCGCTTGACTTCTGCCAAGTCTCCGGCCAACGGAGTTGTATAAAGCAAGGTAGGCACATGCTGAGTCAGCATTTCGTGCTTTGTCTAAAAAAGGTCTAGAAAGGGCTAAAGATTCTTGCTGCTAAATGAGTTTGGGACTAAAGGAAAACAACAAAGGGTTGGGGCCTCCAGTTTGATGATGTTGCATGTATTGTTCCGCCACGTTTCCAATTTGATAGATTTACAATACAGACCACTCAATTGTTATCCACTAATTTATTTACTACCTATATTTTAAATTTTTACCTATTTATCATCTTATCTTGGTATAAAAATATACATTTCATTTTTTTTTAATAATTTAAATAATAATATTTTATGTGATGTGAAAGATTTGGATGATGTAAATATAAAAATTAGATATGTAAAATTATAAGTTTTGAATCCTAGGATTAGAGTATAATTTAAGAGGGAGAGAGAGAGACAGAGTCGAGGATTTATGAATAATAAAACATTGTCTCACTTGTGTCAATCCTTTCAATCTTGTTGACATCATTTATTTTATAAAATCATCTCCCTTTTTACAGTGAGAGTGTTTATTATGATGATTTTACATTTTTGTCATTGTTATAATCGGGGATGCACAGAATATTATTGGTATTTCATATAGATTAGTCTGTTGCAGGAAGGTTATGTAGCTCAGTCGATTGAGCTTATTTGGCTTCGGGTCGACGGGATCGATTCAGTCTATCAGGCTTGGTCGACATTGTCGGTTGGCCGAGCTTGGTGGGTTTCAGGTCGACAGAACTTACTTGGTTAGCTGATCTAGCTTGGTTGTCGACCCTTGGTAATGGATGTGAGAGCTTCTAGATACCCCCAATATAATTAGAGATGTTGAGGGAGGGGCTGGGTCTTCTCTCATATTGGCTTCTTAGCAGTGGTTGGCTCGAATGCCTTATCATCTAGTTTCAGATTAAACGATACAGATTTGATCATTTGGACGTCTTTTTATCGTTCTCATCAATTGGTTGGCTTTAGCCTTACTGGTTTTGGCTCGAACAACCTCACTCTGTAGAATAAAATGGGCCACATGACATTCTGTTGGTGGATCCTCTTTTATCGCTTTCTTTTCATCTGGACTGTTAGATCTTCTTAGGATCAACGGTGACACATTTTCATGGGAATTTGGTGGTATGTATTAAATTCATGAATGGAACTCCCAGTTGAAATTAATTTTGTTTGAACAAAAAATGTTGGGTTTATATAGTTTAATAATATACATCTCCAATTTATAAAATTCAAATCACTTCAAAAAACTTGTTGGAATGGGCAGCAAATGTATTATTTTTAATATTGTCTGATGATGAGCATTCACTCTTGCATTCTAATTCTTAGCTTAATTGTCATTAAGATGGAGTTGTCAATGCATGTACTTTAGGCTGGATATAAACTTATTTATTTATTTATGTGCTTCTATCCTTCATTTTAGATTCAATTAAAACAAATTGATTTATATATTTCTCATGATAGAATTTGTTCTTTGCGAATGCAATTATTGTTAGAATTGAATATAGTGATGGACATGAATATGCTTAACTTTATTAATTGTAAATTTGATGAATATTAAACAAAAATAAAGAGTTAAAGTGGAAGAAATTATAAAAAGGGCAATCAATAAACTCACATGTATTCAAGTTCTAACAAAGGTGTTCATAATAATGTATTTTTTTATTCTATGGACAAAGAGGTTTTAGTTTGTTAAAATATAGATGTTAAGACTTTGTTTGTTGGTTTATGTTTGTCTATGTCTATTACTTTCAATTAAGTTATTTACACCGAAGCAGTTATGAAAAGCTTTAGATAGAAGATTAAAGCTAATGATAGAACTCGAGTTATAGTGACATGCATGTGCCCACATAAGGGTGTCCGTGAAGGCATGGGATTTCAAAATAAAAAAAGGATTTTTTTTTTTTTTTTTTTTTTTTGAAATTCATTTTTTTGGCGCTTTG